ACCTGGTATATATAAAAGCAAATATTCATAAATCATGTTGAAGATTTTGTCAACTTGCCCTCAAAATGGCGGCGTTCAAGACCATATCTAGGTATGGTTCCAGGACACAAAGTATAAAGAGTTTGGAAGTGTTCGATTGGAGCAAATGTGCATGGGAAACGATGGCAAGGCGAAATTGATGTGTATTTGATGAAATTTAAAACATATAAAGTCGTTGAGCACAAAGGTTTGTATGTTACCTGCTGAAAATGATCAAACAGCAGAGGGAAACTATTGCAGTCGTATTCTGGTAGCTGGCAGCATTCAAGCATGTTACTGAATGTGGTACTCTCTATAGCTCACTGTGCTGACACAGAAACAAGTCATGAAACATGGCCAGCATCCCAAATACGTCATCTGTATTCTGCACAACTCCGCAGTGTGTCCAGGTACGGATGCATACTGTGAGTTATGTTTTCTGACGAAGGTACATTGGTATGATCTTTCTGCTGGAGTGTGTTTTCGAAAATTATAAACACATTCCAAGAGTGTTCTTTTAAGAGCCATACCCTATAATGAATTGTCTTTACTACAAACTAATATCTTACATACTGTGGCACACTGTGGTTCGAAAATGGGTTTTGATACATTGTGATTCATAAACATGCTTTCTCATCGTATCTCATGATGTCAATCACTGGATTTTCTGGTCTAGACTCGACTGTTTAGATACCGCCGTCATACAGCTGTAAGATTGCCACGGAGTGCAACGTTACACAAACAATCAAACATATGCTCATAATACGGGACCTTTACAATCGACTCTACTTGACTCTAATCGAGATTTCTTATGGATGTGGAAAGGGTTTGGTCGTTAAATTTTGGCGATACTCCCATTAACTCTATTGAAAAATGTATTTTGCTGTGGTCATCATATGGTGTCATGTCAATGAGGTATATTTACAAATACCTGAATAATAATGTCTCACTTGCTCACTGAACGTTCTTCAGGATTCTCCAAATTCCACACTTATTTACCTGTCCTGTCGCAGAGAATGACTTGATGTCTTGTTTGTAGGCAAAAACATGGTCAATCAACCCTCGTGGTATTGAAGGTAGTGAAGAGAGAAAGTATGTTTCACCAAGACTGATGATTTACTCATATCAGCTTGACTCTATACTCCCAGGGACAGGGATCTGAATATGAGATTTCTTATCATGTGCCGACTCCTTATTGTCCTTACGGAATATTAACTTGTCAGATGTAGATATTCACGATTCAAAATCACATCTTATAACAACTCAACAGATGTATCAACTTTATGACTTTGGCTTTCATTATTTTATATATATTTCAGAAATGCCGTATTAAGAGATATAGTATGTGCATATGTACACATGTATGATTTAGTTTGTTGGTTGGTTTAGTTTTACGCCACACTCGGCAATATTCCAGTTATATGGCTCGGTCGAGTAATAAATAATCGAGTCTGGACCAGACACTCCAGTGATCAACAGCATGAACATCACTCTACGCAGTTGGGATACGATGACATATGTCAACCAAGTCAGCGGGCCTGACCACCCGATCCCGTAAGATCATATGTCAAACCCAAGATGGCGGTAACCTGTCGAGGTATCTAAAATCTGTTACACTTTTGACCTAGGAAGTATGGTTCTGCAAGTTTTAAAGTTACACCAGATTTTAGACTCAGTGGAAAGGATCGCGGAACAAGTCAACATTATAAACCAAGTCAACTGAGCTCTAAATATGTTGAAATTCAAGTGGTTGCATCATCCAATCATATGGCAAAGATCAGAAAACTTTCAGCAGCCAAAAGCAATATAGTACAGATTCTATAACTACATTACCTGGTATATATAAAAAGCAAATATTCATAAATCATGTTGAAGATTTTGTCAACTTGCCCTCAAAATGGCGGCGTTCAAGACCATATCTAGGTATGGTTCCAGGACACAAAGTATAAAGAGTTTGGAAGTGTTCGATTGGAGCAAATGTGCATGGGAAACGATGGCAAGGCGAAATTGATGTGTATTTGATGAAATTTAAAACATATAAAGTCGTTGAGCACAAAGGTTTGTATGTTACCTGCTGAAAATGATCAAACAGCAGAGGGAAACTATTGCAGTCGTATTCTGGTAGCTGGCAGCATTCAAGCATGTTACTGAATGTGGTACTCTCTATAGCTCACTGTGCTGACACAGAAACAAGTCATGAAACATGGCCAGCATCCCAAATACGTCATCTGTATTCTGCACAACTCCGCAGTGTGTCCAGGTACGGATGCATACTGTGAGTTATGTTTTCTGACGAAGGTACATTGGTATGATCTTTCTGCTGGAGTGTGTTTTCGAAAATTATAAACACATTCCAAGAGTGTTCTTTTAAGAGCCATACCCTATAATGAATTGTCTTTACTACAAACTAATATCTTACATACTGTGGCACATGTGGTTCGAAAATGGTTTTTGATACATTGTGATTCATAAACATGCTTTCTCATCGTATCTCATGATGTCAATCACTGGATTTTCTGGTCTAGACTCGACTGTTTAGATACCGCCGTCATACAGCTGTAAGATTGCCACGGAGTGCAACGTTACACAAACAATCAAACATATGCTCATAATACGGGACCTTTACAATCGACTCTACTTGACTCTAATCGAGATTTCTTATGGATGTGGAAAGGGTTTGGTCGCTAAATTTTGGCGATACTCCCATTAACTCTATTGAAAAATGTATTTTGCTGTGGTCATCATATGGTGTCATGTCAATGAGGTATATTTACAAATACCTGAATAATAATGGCTCACTTGCTCACTGAACGTTCTTCAGGATTCTCCAAATTCCACACTTATTTACCTGACCTGTCGCAGAGAATGACTTGATGTCTTGTTTGTAGGCAAAAACATGGTCAATCAACCCTCGTGGTATTGAAGGTAGTGAAGAGAGAAAGTATGTTTCACCAAGACTGATGATTTACTAGTTCCTCTCTCATATCAGCTTGACATCCATGGTTATATCATTCATTGCCATTTTAACAAAATCATTGCGTCACATGATCGCCCTCGAAACGATAAACTCGTGTTCCCAAAGAAAGACAGTCATTGAACAAACTACAAATCTCTTTTACATGTGTGAATAGTTGTATTACAGAATTCTCTTTCTTTAAATATATGTACATTTAGGAGATAAACATACCGTGTTGGAAAATCAGAGGTAAATATCGAAATTATAATAACTCTGAATTTGAATGGCGTCGCGTGATGTTTCAAATTTAATAAAACAGACCTATTATAATATTGTTATATACCTCTGATTTAACACAGTATGTTTATTTCCATTCTACCATAACCGTGTTATTAAGTTTAAAAAAAAATACATACTGTGTTGGAAAATCAGAGGTATATAACGTGATTACATACCTCTGAATGACTTTAATTAACCAATCACAATCCAGTGTTTACTGAAGTCATGACAGAATAGTACATGTTAAAACTAGGTAAATGTTTCTCCGATAAACATATACTGTTCCGAATAGTTTTAATTCCACGTTAACTGGTTGAATCACACGTGCATGTCAATTTCTCAAATAGCAGAAGTTTCGTAAAATCCATAGTGACCCACACGCATGTTGTAATCTCCAGCTGATTCTTTCATCCAACACATTCATCTGAAACAGCGGGATAACCACAACCCCGTGAAATGACGTGTATATATACCTCCAGCCTTGTGGTGGGTCTTCGACGAATAATCAACTTGACCACCAATCAGTTCATGATAAACTGTCACGTATAAACTATCAAGATCTCCACGAAACCAATGAAAACTGCAGAACGTATCTAAACCATTGCAATTACTTTCTTTAGTATTGACAGGTTGCAATATCAATAAGTGGAAACGGACAGGGCACAAAACAATCGAAAGTTTATCATAATTTAATTTAACGACATAGATATAAACGCCGTTTACATAAGCATAAGAAATCAAACAAGAGTCCATTGTACGAGTGAGTTTGGATTTACGCCGCTTTTAGCAATATTCCAGCAAAATCACGGCGTGGGACACCAGAAATGGACTTCACACATTGTACCCATGTGGGGAATCGAACCCGGGTCTTCGGCGTGACGAGCCAACGCTTTACCCACTTGGCTACCCCACCGCCCCCAGTCCATTGTACGGACCCGACCATATCGTGAGTGTATTATGACAATATGATACCATATGTTCCTGACTAACTGATGCGAGAAGTTATCAAAGGCGCTTATCTGATGTATGATGACGGAATGAAGTCACGAAGACAGTCAATATACTCTCTTTACTCCCGTAAACGTGATTCACGTCTTACAAAATACCTATGGGAAATGGTACAGAATTGATTTACTGTACTCAGGTGTACAAATATAAAGCATGTACTTCCTGCCCTTGTCAAACATATAACGACATATAGATCTACATCATGGTATAAAACTAACCTCACTGAAGCCATTCTATAGTGAGTTTTTTCCAATAGTTTAACGTCTTGTTTTAGTCGGAATTACTACCACTGCCGTGTGTGCTTCAGCAGTTCCATTGAAATGAAGAAGAAAACTCCGTAAGCCCCTAAAATCATTAACTGTAACTTTTATTTATTTCCACCACTACATCGATATTTTTCTGCTTAGATAAAAAGCTAACTTCAGATTGCATTTAATGTCTATGAGTAGTTGTCAGTAACCACGACGTTGTAATGATTATCAATGCACATACATGTATGTATGTAAGTAATCAATTAGTTCATGAAGGTGTATGGATACATTTTCGAGGATATGCATCCATGACAGTGTCTAAAACAAACTGTTTCACTATCACGTAATTCCGTCCATGTGAATGTTAGAACAACCCACCTATTTTACAGTTGTTCCGATAGTTGAGTGCTTGATCAAAACACAATAACACAGAAATCGATAAAAGCATCGCGGAACATCTCTTGTGTGACATAGCGACTTCACGTCCCGTCGAGTGTATCCGAGTAAACTGTACATTTCAACTGTACAAATTGTGACTACTGTACGGGTCTCTTCTGATCTCTTCAGATTTAGAGCCAGTGACAAGACAGAAGGTAAGACTCTCTCTCTTCAGTGTGTTCACAGGGCACTCGACATCCAAACATTATGTGTACGGGTATCTGTTCTGTGTGTTCATAAGCATAGATAAGTTTAGCCGGTAGCTAGAAAATAAAACATAGAGCAGGTGTAGAAAGTAAATAAAATCAAAACACCAACTGTGAATATATTTTATATATAGGGAGAGAGAATTGTGCGATAGATCACCCAGGCAAGACCTTGTTTATTTAGAAAGTCCTGTCAACGCCGGCGTTCATTCTAGCTTAAGTCATGAGTATCGCACAAACGTTCCCTTCTTTTGATCAAAAGTCGACTTGTATGAATAGTGGCGAATTTGAATAATAACTTTGAAAACAGTTATGTTCATATGGTCTCTAATTTTAAAAATACATATTTGTTTATTTCTTAGTGACTGTATATTTAAAATACCATGCTATAGCAACTTTGTTGGGCCACCACCATATTGGTGGAGTAATAACCGGATAACCAGTATGTTTGGAATAATAAGAAAAATATTAAGTCTTGGGGCAACTTGACAACGGTAATATTGACCTTATCAACACATCGCTTTTCAGTAAACGGCAATCCATATGTATGGTTAGCTTTGTGAAAAGGCCCTGTGTTACTGACTTAATGACACTCTCACCAATAGTTATAATACCATCTTAGATAAGTGTTTCATATTGCATTAGTTCAATTTAATTTTTCTAATACTGATAAGAAAGGTTGCCGTGGCATCATCGATCGTTTCGAGAAACGTGTAACATGCTAATCCATCCTCTTTACATGAATAAGAAAATGACGCCGAGTTTATAAAAAATGTGCCTCTAACATATAGTTAGGCATGGTCTTTACTGGAGATAATGTTGAGTTGCTGGTTATGCGTTGATTGGTTTAACAGATACACATTACTCATAACAATACGTTATTGCAAATCGGCACATTAAAATACCAGTATAAAACTAAAATTGTGGCATGAATAGATCATTTCCATAGTATGCATTGTCATCACTTCAGGTAAAACACTCTACCAAACCACGAGGGATAGATAGATAGGTAGGTAGGTAGGTAGGTGTGCTATTGTCGGATGATTTACAAGGGGTAGGGGTAGCATTGCTCAATGAATACAAAGACACGCTCTTCACAGGTTTAAGCAACATTCATGGCCATACATTCAAGCTTCAACTTAAACCGTATGCAGATCTGAGCTAGGTTCCTCAGCGTGGCGAGGGTTTTGTCCTTATGTAGACACGAATACTACGGATTGCTGACGAGTCCATAACACAGAGGCAAGTAAGAGAATACGCCAGTCATTGTACAGCGTGTACAGGGAGCTTGGTGTAACAATGACAGGTTCATTAGGTACCACGCCCCTGTGACGTTATCGCACCACATTCTACGTCATAGACAAGATGTGAATACCTGTTGACATGTTCATATGATCTGCCGAGATTATGTTTCCTGTATGATCAACATCCTCTGCGACAGCGATGTATGCGCTTGAAACAGTGCTCTATCTGGCTTCCGTGCTTCCTCTACCTACTTTACTCACAGATTGTCATGTTAACTTTCAAGTCTGCTGAATTTTAGGGTTTCAAGGATGTAACAATATTTGGGTATCGTGCTCACTTTTTCTCCAGTAGATCACCCTCCTGCAAATAAACTGTAAAATCATCTATGGTGAAAGCTGCAACCAGTGAACAGAATTAAGAAAATGAATTACCGGAAATGGCATTGGCTCAAACTCATGTCCAAACAGAACAACCGGAGTATCACCTTATTTAGCTATGGTTGGTGGACGTGTATCGTCTTTATAGCAGTTGTTCTTCAAGAGGGGAGCAGCACATGAGTTATCTGTGGGGGCTATATTCCAAGAAACATGCTCAAATCAAACATGAACGTTAAGCAACCGTTAGAGACAATCGAGAAACTTGGAAATAAGTGATAGCAGAAAGTCATAAATGGTCCCAAATGTTGTAAGAAGCATTTTCGGACAGTTTTTGTTGAGAACAATCTTTGATGATTTTCTGTGTAGACTCGATTTTATAAGTAAGATGTAAGTAATCTTAAACACCTATGGAGGGGAGGAATGTAAGAAGAAAACAAGGTATGGATCACAGCACATGACATGGAAAGACATCGGAGCAGATCCTTGAGAACGGTTCGTCCGTGGATTGTGTTGTATATCAGCCTTGTACTTTCTTCTGTCCTCTCTAGTCGTGCAGAATAGATTTAAGTCCGCCAGCAGACTGAATTTATTGTTATCCCTGACAATACCCATGTCCAGTTTCTATACGTCATTGTCCTTACCTGCTTGCTCATTTGCCTATGTTTTATTATGCATCAGCATTCTGAATCGGAATTTCTTCGTGGAGAAGCAAAATAAATAATTGATTGGCCAAGACGTTCCACTTTAGCTTCAGGTGTGTGGTCGATCGTTCAATAATGGTCAAATAGCTAGTTCCATTGGATTGACATACCAACCTGTACAAGAAGTACACGATACAAGTGTCTATCATATAGATCTGAGCACGAAGATTCAAAGTGACATCCTTGTACAGGGATGATTTCAACTACAATGAATGGCAATATTCCATAAAGGGGACATTTCTAAATTTGACGCATCTATCACAATAATGATACAAGTCCGTTTGTAGATTTGTTCCAGATGTTACCGTATTTTCGTAGGAGAACAATTGGCATGAATATCTTTGTGACTCACTAACGATCGGTCAGAATATCTTCACCTTTTGGATAACACCTAGTACTTTCACTAGTGATCATGCCTATGATATAACGTACAATTGATTTTTTATGATTATAAAAATGGTTTTATCGCCTAGTTATTGCCTGTTTTCAGGCCAGGTTCATTCTCTGAATTTGATAATAATTTCTTTGATATGATCAAAAGATGAAAAAGATAAGAAAGTAACGTTTCTATGAATGGATATAAACTTGTATAGAACAGAAGAAAAGCTATGTTTCCAAGGCGAGTCTCCATGCAGTAATCAACATGAATTATCCCCTTGACCTGGCCCTTGAAATACATGATTTATTTCTATCATATTCATTTATATCGACAGTCATTATGCATTCACCACATAACAGGAATTAGGACTTATGATACTTCTAGGTGCAACTTAAACGGAAACGGACACAGGACCAAGAAATTAATGGAATGCTCGTTCACGTTCAATCAATGCCGTACAGTCTATTGTGTGATTTGTATTGATGGGAAGATCTAAAGTTGTTTACATTGCGAGGACTTCAGAGCATACGGTTTCTAATTTCTAATTCTTAATAAATATAGAGCCACTACCCCTAAAGGATCAGCTGTATGGTAGAAAGACCGTGTTCAATTCAGTCCAGAGATATCGATAAGTCCGGAATCTAAAACAAGCCCATCAACGAATCCCGATAACAACGCACCTAAGAGTGGGTTACATAGTGTTCAGTAAAGTAGTTCAACATCGTAGAACATCGATCCTCATCGAAATTACCACCAATCTTGATATCACTGTTTAAATAAAGCACTGTTTTGTCGCAAATTGTTAACCAGCTGTAAGACATTAGTGATGCTAATACTCTTCTATTAAAATAAGGTAGGGGATGTTCAATACTTTTTTTTTATTTATATGAAATTATTATGAAAATTCTGATTCTGTGAATGAGATTTAATTCAAGTTAAAAAAAGAAGAAATTTCTTGACGCAGTTTATTTTTCCGACATTTACATCTGGACGTTTATGTATGGGACACACAACTGAATACATATTTGAACGATACTTGCTTTGTGGTCAATTAGGGGCGTTATCAGACAATAACGTACATGACTTGCAGAGGAGCTACAAACATCAGTTTCTCGGAACTTTGTATGAAGACCAATTGGTTGATTTCACCGAAGTTCAACCAGGGTACATATCCACGGTAACATCTGATGCCATCTAAAGGCGGACATGGTTAGTCTCCTCCAAACAATATCGTACTTTGGTTAACATTTCCTGAGTCAACATCCAATGTATGCATGTGAATTCGTGATGGAGTGATATATTTTCAAATTTATATTTTATAATCATAGAAATTGTATTATTACATATTCTATGGACATAAATGTACAATGGGAAGAGCAAAAAACACAGTCTTCAATTCACCCAGGGACACTACAAACAAAGCAGAATTGTTCACATGAATACTATCTATTTCACGATGACGTCAATATGCCCATCCAATAGCGTATTGTATTCGTTCAAACATAATGGTATATTCAAATGTTCTTTTTACAAATATATGTGGATTTTGATTCGCTTTCTAACTGCAGTGCATTACTCATATAGAAGCGTACTTGACTAATTTTCCTTCATTGTGTTTTCTACAAATGTCAAGTTAATAATGCTGGAATTGCTGGTTTTACATAGGTGCAGTTGTTTCGTTACACACATCACACTTCCGATAGTTTTCATCGGTCCAGCATCTGGGGCACAAACACAGAACTTCAAAGTTAATGCTGAACACCATACCTGAGTTTCACCAGGTACTCTTAATCACATTATATATAGAGAAGTGTCTAAATGTTTTAAAATAGGGAGCATATACATATTGTATATATGAACATAATACCTTTTAGAACCACGACCTTTTGCATGAAGAAGCTATACATATAGTACATATGAACATAATACCTTATAGAAACACGACATTCTGCATGAATAAGATATGGACTACTAATGACAGCGTGCCTTCATATGTGTGCATCACATCAAGCAAGCAAGTAATGTCACTGTGCTAGTATCTACCCCGGACGTCGCATTCATTTTCATTAAGAACTTATCCATTGGACTATCTCCTTCTTTTTCATATGTCACATGAAGACGATGTACGTAAGTGGTTTACAATCCTCTGGCATTAATTTCAAACCCTCAAAATCTCGCTAGAATTTAAAACAAAAGTACTTTTTATTGTAATTGGATGAGATAGATGTCTGTAATAGCATAACATTG